AACGGCGTCTTAAAGCGTGTTTAGCGAATCGACCTATGGTTCTCTCGTCAAACCCAAATGTGGAGGATTACAAGGGACGGACAGGGCTATCACCACCTGCCGCCTATCCCTCAACTGTCGGGAATAAGGCAAACAAGATAGCTTCTAGCCTAGACACCACATCTACGCTATCTACTATTACTCTAGCATGCTGGCAAGGGTTATCCGTCTTTATCAGGGCCCTTCTACTAGAGTATCAGCCACAAGGACGAACGATGAACCCGTAAGTAAATAATGAACGAAGATAACTTTCTTATGATATCAATACCAAATTAGAACACAAACTTCTTACCTCAAGTAGTAAGGCGTTCGTAGAGGTACAAGTGGAGGAGTCGCTAGTTCCGACACTCCTTCCGCTAAGTGTAGGGAGTACACTAGGGGAGGTTGCCGACAACCCCGACACTTCTCCAACTCTTCCTTGTAACACCCTCGGCTCGGGCCATCTTCGAATGAATCAACGTCTCGAAGGGTTCCACGGTGAGTCACTAGAGCTCACTAGCTACCTATTTTGTCCCGGCCTTGCTGACGTTCACTGGAACGGCACCGCCGTAACTACAGGACCTCCGCCGCCGTGGTCAGACCGCGCTACTGCTGCTCGGCTCGCGCTTTCTTCACCCGGCACTTCGCGTTCGCTCCAAGGTAAGGGTCGGCTCGGTTGTTGGGGAGGGGAAGGTCTGCTGGGTCGCCGGTGCCAGCGCCGTCGTGCCGGTGCGCGCGGGTGCCCGTAGGGGTGTCGCTGATGTGAGGATAGCAGATTCCGAGGGCGTAGTTGTAAAACCGTAGACTAGAGGAATAGTGCCTTAGAGCTCGTAGGGAATATAGAGTAGTCCGGGGGCGTTTCTGCATTTTTGCCGTCGCACGCGGATCCTTCCCTCTGCGGGCCGTCGTCCAGCTAGGCCTTGACCGCGCGTGGGCCACGCTGCGCTGACGCGCGCATCGCGCCGTTGTGGGCCAAGCCGTGCGTGTTGGGCCGCAGGTTAGAAATTGTTTTCTTCAAATTCCAGTAAAGTAGAAATGCTCATTCAATTTAGTTTTTAAGCTGAACTTTGATAATTCGTAGTAAATTGTGTAGTGGTCCAAAAATAGTGAGACTAATTTTGTTAGGTTCGCAAAAATACCATCTACTTGTTAGTACAGTTAGATTGCAGTTATCTATGACAAGTATTGGGTTATAAATTCAAAACTAGAGAGTTAATATTATATAGATTAATATTTGTAGGAATATTTGTGGACAATTGGTGAAAGCTATCAACATAAAAATTTTATAGTAGGTTCCCTAGGTCATTATGTACTTGTTGTAAATTTGTTAGCCTTAGAATGAGTTGCTAGATAGAGTAGCTATTACCCTTACTTTATCATATATAGCGTAAATTAGCATTAGGGGTAAGAACACCTGTAGTTGCTATAGTAATAATGAATGTCATATTTCAAACTTATCGGTAACAATAGATAGCTTAGTACCATGGTTGGTAGCACTAGTTTAGTAGTTAAATCGATGTACTTTTATTTTAAGGGTTGTTGTTGTCATATTATTAAACATTGCATCGTCATTTCATGTAGATCGCGAGCTGGTAGAATTCATGCCCGTCGATGAATAGGAGTACGACGAGGTGATTGAGGAGTACGAGGAGGAGATCCTCGTGCAGGAGGGAGCTCCAGAGCCTATTGGTGCTGACCTTACTAACCCGTCGCCTGCCCAAGGCAAGCTCCGGTGCATAACCCCTATTTTAATGATCACTGAATATATATATGTGATGTGCATTTAAGTTACAGGCATTATATGGAAACTACATGCATAAATATATCTACTCATGAGTCCTACTAGTACAGGTCGAGTAGATGCTATGCTCAGGATATCGGTAGCGTCAGTAACTCGCCGTTACTCGCAAGTAGGTGATAAATATGACCACTCATGATAAAATGGTAAAGGTAAATGGTGACCGGGTAGGGATATGGTTTGGGTATTGGTGGGTGTAAGGGGTTGTGTCCTGCAGCCAACAGGGCATAGCTCGGTTACACTTTTTCCCTATCTGTGTCGATTAAGGACCGGTCGTTGCATATGACTCTAGGCAAGTCACAGATTTATTGTCCCGAGCGCATACTTGGGTATGGGTGCAGGGAAGACTTGATGCTCTCTTGTCGCGGATCTAGCTCTTTTCGGACCGACTGATTGGAGGCGAAGATGGTGGAGGTCCTTGCACCACACTGAGTCCGGGACTCAGGAGTGGGGGCTTGGAGTCCAAGTTTGGACGGGGACCTAGACACCTGGGACAGGAGAGTGATGGGTTAGTCCTGCTTGTGCCTGGGGTACAAGTGGGGCGTGTGTTTTCGGGGCACCTAGCTGGGCACATTGATTCGCGAATCACCGAGAAATCCGGTACGGCTTGTCTGCGGTTTAGCACCATAGTAAGAATTGAAAGTTGAAAGGAAAAGAAATGGAACTGGTTGCTCAACTCTTGCTTGAAGGTAGAACAGGTGCTTATATAGACTGGCTAGATGATAACTTAATACAGCTGATAATAATACATAAATAAGGACTCACTATTAGTATTACTTTCTGCCAAAAGAAACCAGCAAGCCATAACGCTTATCATATTCCTTAGAGCCAGGAAATTATTCCCACTATTCGGATAAGTCTTGCGAGTACATTGTGTACTCAGGGTTTATTTACCCCTGTTGTAGGTGATGCATGAGAAGTACCTTTGTGTGGAGGATCCTTCTGGTGGGCTCAGACGGAATCCTCGCTCCTATCGCTAGATGTTTATTTAAATTTCGTTGTTTATCATTCCGCACTCTGACATTTGGTAATGTAATAATGTACTTTTCAAGAATCTCTAATGTATGAAATGGACTTGTATTGTAACTCGTTCTCATTATTGGATCCTTGGGAAAAATGTGGATCTTTCGGGTTCTCCCTCGGGGTATGCCCGACGGATACCGCCCATGGTAGCTTGCTTTCGGGGTGCTTAGTGTCTGGTGGAAGACGAGCGCCTCCATAAGTGTGCTATTTCGGGCGGTTCTGCCACATTCCCTCACTCACTCCCTATATTATTCTAGCTAAAGCTAAGATGAATGAAGCCCTTCTACTTCTCTTCTTGTGTATGAATGAGATGCCTTGTGAGGGAGCCTCCCCCAAGCTTTTATAGCCAAGCTACATCGGTTCAAGGAGGAATATCTCCAGAATACCAGCATGCACCGCCTCTGCATGGCTCCCGAACACCGCCTCATGAAGGAGTGGGCGAGGAGCGTCGGGTGGGGGGCAGGCGTACCCTGGGTTCGGCTGCCCCTTGACTGGCTCCAAACACTACCGCCTTCGCACGGTGGGCTCTTGGCTGGACCTGTAGCGCGTACCCATGGTGATTTCGGTCCAGTTGTGTCAGGTACATGTCCTTTACTCTTTTTCTCCTTCCTTTATGTGGGCTAAATTGTGTGAATGTTTGTATTTTGGGTCCATTTTCATGTTTGTCTCCTACAAACAAATATTTCACCAAAACTTGTGGAAATGATTAATTGAAAGTCCTATTTCTAGTTTTGTTGATTGCTTCTGATGAATTTTATACAAGTGTTGGCGGTATAAAATATGAGTTAAGAACTGCCAACAAGCTCCCCCACACTTAGTCCTTTACTCGTCCTCGAGTAAAGTGTAGAACTAAGATGGTTTATTCTCCTTGATATGAAACATGCATACAAGTTATTCCAAGCTTCACCTGGACCTATGAACATTCTGAGTGTCTACCAAATTATCTTGGGTAATTGGATAATAGAATAGCATGTATTCAAATCCTCTTACTCTACTCTTGCTTAGAAACTTAGGTTTTGTTTTGATTTTTGAAACATAAAGATTAGCTCTGCTCCTCGAAATAATTCAGTCGATCGCTCAATGTGTTTAGTCCTCACCAAAGGCCTTTGATATTCATCCTACCTCTAAGGGCTAATTTGTGGAGTTTTGGGGAGGTAAAAAGGAAAAGCATATTTGCATCACATAATATTGCTAAGTCAAAAACCGGATCCGAGGAGATGCGAGTCATACACTTTGATCAAGAAGTGTAAGTGTGTGGAATTTTGAATTCTTCCTATTTCTAAATATTTTGTACTCCTTTGAACATGACCCCCCTTTCCTTCTGATAGTTGTCTTTGAGAGTATGGGCTATCTTTTTCTTTTCCTTCATGCTTTTTAGCATGGGATTATTATTATTATTATTATTATTATTATTATTATTATTATTATTATTATTATTTTGTGTCCCTTGGCACTTCTCTTTCCTTTTTTCTCTCATGCTCTTTTGGCATGGATATTTAGTATTTTTTTTACATAGCCCATACCTTTCTTCTTGGCATATGAAAACTTTAGATAGGGATACTCATGTAAATTGAATGGAGTATTTATTTCTTTGGTGGATAGAAAAGCATGTTTTTTCGTAACCCTTAGTGTAAGAGTCAGCATTTTATTCGTGGGTGTACGTGAATTTTGATCATGGGTGCATGACGCGTATCTCGACAAGGGTCACAATAATTTGACAAAGATCAATGTGAATACAAACAGCATATGACTAAAGTTTTGTTATCATGGATTTTTGTCATATGGCTTTGGTAGGAACTATAATCATTTGAGGAGCATGCTAATTAGGATTTTAATTTTGTAAAATAAACCCCAAGTACTTTGCAAGAAAGAGCAAGTCTCATTTCATCCTACTGTATCTCATTTCCAATGACCTAGATGAAAATGGGGTCCCTATGATGAGTTGCTCACAAGTCATAGGAATTTTAGCGAGGAATAAAGAGTATGCAAATTTTTATCAAAAGGTAGAATGAAATTGGAGCACCTATAAATAGTCATATTTCAATTTGTTCAAGATTTTGTTTTAATTATAGAGAGTGAGTGTGCACAACTTTAATTTTTAATATACTTATGTTTGCACACCTGAGAAGAGCTGTTTGTGGTCGTCTCCCCCATAGGAATTTTAGTGAGGAATAAAAAGTATGCAAATTTTTATCAAAATGTAGAATGAAATTAGAGCATTGATGAGGCTGCGCATGTAATGCATGACATAGAACCCGCAGAGATCATTGCCCGCAGGCTGCATTGGGATCAAACTGATCGATACTACTTGAAACCTAGATCTGCCAAGCTCACGAGGTTTCTTGGACTTTGACTTTGACTTCTCGTAGGCCCTGTGCGACAAGTTCATGACAACGACATAATATGATCAAAGCTATGTAACAAATAATCTTATCGTTGCCAATGTAGTAGTAGCTTGTCTTACTTGTTCAGCGCCTCAATGAAGGGATGGATGTCCTCTAGTTGGCTCCCTCGAGAGTCGTAAACGTTGACAGTGATCCTCTCTACGCTGATGTCAAGAAGGACATGATGGTCATCGCTGCATTCACAACGTCACCGTCGGTTCCAATTAGGTTCAACCCTCAAATATGTAATGGAGTAGAAAATTAGGCATTTACAACAAACTTACACGCACTTGTAGGATAGAAGTATGCTGCGGGATTTATTGAGACGGAAGCTCTTTGCCAATTCATCGATGGTGCTAGTGTACTTTAGTGTCCCATGATTGGATAACACTGGGTTCAAGAAGCCTATTTGAATCCGTTGCGCACTGTAGAAGTCTGCCTTCTACCTACAAAACAATGTGTAGTTGTTAGAAACTCAACTCGGAGCTATAAAATGCATGGTTTACTAACTAGACTTACATGGTCCACAAGCTCATGATATGAATGTCCAGGGGCAACTTTTTGTAAAATTGAGACAATGCCTTGAACTCAATCCACAATGAGTCATCGGTTCCCCTATAAAACTGTTTATCCAAAATTCTTGCACCAAACCCAACACTACATTGAGCTTTGTACCAATTACACACCTCTCGCCCTCTCGGTCCTAATTTTAGGACTTCTCCGAGAGCCACCAGATCACCCCCAACCTAAAACTGCCATACAGGTGGTGCCTCCTCTCTATCCCGCCGAAGCTCAGCATCTGCAAGTTCTTCCTCTGTCGTTGTGTTTTCTTGTAAGTTCTGAGATGGTTGAGTTGTAGTCCTAGTAGATGGACCGGTCTTGCGAGTCTTGGGTCATAGCGGTTCCTCTATCGATGTGTTTTCTTGCAAGTTCTGAGATGGTTGAGTTGTAGTCCTAGTAGATGGACCGGTCTTGCGAGTCTTGTCTCATAGCGGTGATGAAATACTTGGTTCCTTATATTGGTGCGAGTCTTCGTCATCCATATCATCGCCGGATTCAGAATCCGAGCCAAAGGATATGTAGCGCTTGCACCAAAAAACTTGGCAACCCAAGTTCTCCCCCAATGTCTTCCTATCCTCATCCTCTAGGTGATCTAACTCAATTGTACGGTACCTGGTCTTAGTTACTACATCAATGGTCACCTTGGAGTACCCTACAGGCAACATATGGTTCTGCAGCACATCCCTTGCTTCGTGGTGAGGACAACGGGGTCCCTTCGGAGAGTCGGCGGAAGGTGTTAAATAGTGAGTAAAGAACAATATGTACGTTACTCACCGTGGAGTTTGAGCCCAGCATAGGCTCGAGGTGAAGCGCGGGTGTCTCGATGTTGAGGTCATCGAGTGGCCCGAGGCTGGTGGAGGGCGCTCCTCATTCAGTGGGCCCCGGGACAATCGCCTCCTCGCGGAGGCGGAGTACGCCGAGCTGGTCGGCGACGAAGTCCAAACTTCCGAAGAGGAAGGTCTGGAGCGGCTCAAAGACGGGAGGAACCCACATCCCAGCAAGTGAGAGCGTGGGAAACTCCAGCGAGCCGAAGCAAATCGTATCGCTCGAGTCTGCCATGCCAAAGATGGTGGAAAGGTGGGACATCCAATGACCAAAAGCGTGAATGCACGGCGTCTTCCCCACGGACGGCGCCAACTGTCGGTGCGAAAAGTGATCAACAAGTAAATATTTGTTGTTTTCCCGTGCGTTGTGATCGGGTGTGGCCTAGCACTCAATGACACAAGATTTATACTAGTTCAGACAACGTGCCCTACGTCCAGTTTCAGTCAGTCGATGACTTTATTCTTGAGCCCAGGTGCTCGAAATTTGTTATGGGATTACAAACAAATAGGAATGAGAAGGGGGTGTTAGAGGCCCGGTCGGACTCTGAACCGAGTGGCCGAGAGTAATGGGAGCTCTAACGTATGCTAAGTATTGGGGCGTATGCTCTGTGTATCTCTAAAGCTTGTTGAGCTGTTGTGTTCTCGAGTCATCGAGAGAGAGAGAGACAACGTTATTTTTCAGGAGAGAGTGCATTCCCTTTTATAGTTGAAAGGGATGGCCTTACAAGTTAGAGAAAAAGAGAGAAAGTGTATACGTGTGCTGCCTAGTCTTGTTGCTCATGCCATCAGGTACGGGATGGCTGCCAGTGTCCACAATATTGTTTATGCCCAGACGCGTCTGGCAGGCTCTACCGTGTTCCCTGATACGGCAAACGTCGGCGCCCACAATACTGTTTGTGGTCTGACGCGTCTGAAAGGTAATATAGTGTCCGTTTGTCATGACCTGGAGACACCGTCTTGCAAGTGCGTATGGTATGGCAGGGTACGGTCCTCGGTATTGTGATTGACTTGAGCGCCTTAGCTTATCTGCTCCGCCTGCTCCCCAGACCCACACCGAGCGGGCGTCCTCGATCGGTCGTTCCCAGTCATCTCCGACCGTGTCGGTCGGGAAAGAGCAGCGAGCAGAGGTCCGGCGTATGCTTGGTCGGAGAAAGGGGTCGGGCGAGGCGGAGCCCGCGACCCAGAGGTCGGGCGAGTGCGGGGCCTGTCCCCAGAGGTCGGAGGTGCCGGTCGGGGACCGAATCGTGGTCTTGACCTGTTATTATGTATCTGGGCCGGCCCAAGCGTGTGCTGCCGTTGCGCCAGCTGCTGGACCAAGTTTTGTAGAAAAATAAGTCTATTGGGGATCCGGGTTTATGAACACGACACGTCCCAATTGGGAGACTGGACGGGGGGCACCATGCGCGTCCGCCCTACGAGCGCCTTGTCGATGTCCACCGTCGCGTACAGCTTGCCGTCCTTGCCGAGGCCGATGGCATTCTCCAGCTCTTGCTCTTGCTGCGCCCAAAACGCATATGGGTCGTCATGTACGTGTACCATGGCAAGGATGGCAGGTGTAGTACCAAGTACCATAAATAAAGAATCGAGGAGAGGAGGAAAACCTGGCCTTTGCAGCAGATCCATGACAAGACCTTCTTCGTCAAAGTCTGATTGCAGACAAGTTCAAAATATTTGAGGAATATATCTGTAATTAATTAATGGCATTTGGAAGTAGAATGCAGTTTATATGATTGGTCCTATTTGTACCAGCCAAACTTTCTCAGCTCGTATCATCATATCAGTATATTATGAATAAAATGATAGACTGACAATGAAATTGAAATGCTAGTATATTCATCGTTAAAAACACACCTTTGTTTTAAACATCACATTTCCGCAAAATCTACTGGTCTATAAATGGTAGTCTATTATTGTAGCGAGTATTTCAACTAAGCAACTTAGTAAGTCTACGGTGGTAGGGGTTCAAAGTAGCATTTAACTTTTGTGATGCACACAATTGGCATTGCTGTAGTTCTATGATATGATGGCTAAAATTTCTAGTTTCCTCAAAGTGGCCGTAGTTTTGCAATAAAGGACGAAAGTGCGTAGGCTCTCCGTAGGTCCAACCCAATAAGAAGCAACAGCCGGCCGGGTCATTGACATTAAAAGAGATTGTTATGAATTATGATTATGACGAGAAACAAGACTAAAGATTTATCTATGTTTCAAAATCCATATGTGTGTGTTTATGTCTATGGCCCCGTTCGGCTTACCTTATAATCCGCACTATTCAGCTTTTTTTTCAGCCGAAATAATATTTTTCTCTTACAATAATTCAGCCAGAACAATGTTTTTCAGCCAATTCAGCCAAATTTCAGCAAGCCGAACGGGGCCTATCAGCGTGCTCGGCTGGTGCCCTGTACAGTAGATTTTGGATGGTTCTGAATAATTTAATAGTGTTTTGTGAGAGAGAATAAGCTGAAATAAGCTGAAACAAGCCAGCAATAGACCAGCCGAACGTGCTGTATGTCTATATCTATAATATGTATATCTATATCTATATTTATCTATAATCTATATATAATCAATAATCGATATCTATCCGTATCTATATAATCTACAGTCTATACTTTATAAAATATAATAATAACCAATATTAAAGAGTAAAACTTCTTCCATCGTTTGTAGAAACTCAGCTCGGGTTCATCCTCTCTACACGTCAATAAACCTATTGCAAATTTGATAAGACAACTGCTTATGCCTTCTATGTCATGTCTCGTAATCCAAACTCATAATACATGCTCATACAAGTTAGAACAACTGGTGTCCAACAATAATATGAATTACAATCAGTGTTTTAAATTGCCGGCTAAGCCATTTAGCTATCTATGTCCTAAAACAGGCTATAGCCGGCTATAGCGTGCTATGACAGTAGCTAAGAGCTAAATTGTACATGAAAAAACTTAGCTAAATCCTTCTCAAACCGCTATAGCCGGAGATAGCGGAAGCTATAGCTGGATATTTAAAACCTTTATTATGATCAAAGAGGCATTAGGTTATTGTGTAGCGCGCTTACATGCTTGCTAGTAAAAGAAAAAATGTTTTTCTTCTTCTGATCTTTGTGACTTCGTCTCCAAATTAGATCAGTCTAGGGGATTCTAGTTACTACTAGTCTAGATGACTAAGGCCTTGTACATGTGTTAAAATATATTAGAGTGAAATTAAATTAAATTTCATTCTATTCTAATCCAACACATGCATCCAAACAAGGCGAGGCTCAGCTTTTTGTCAAGAAATTTAACATGTACAGCAGAGCATATACTATACGGTACCTTCTTGCTCGGCTGCAGCTTGCCGTCTGTGGTGACGGACAGGAGGTCGGCCTCCAGGATCCTGGCCTCGATCACCCCGTGCAGCAGCAGCTGCGTCGTCTGTGGCTGTGCCATCACCATGCCGTTCGTTCGTTCGTTCGTTCGTTCGTTCGTTCGGGGGCTTCTTCCATCGATCTCCGACCCGATCCTCTTCCGCCGCCTAGCCTACCCCTGGCCTCTGTGCGTGCTAAGCTAGTTTCTTGTGGAGAGCGATGAGGCCAACTCAAGGTATGCGCGCAGTATATATACTGACGCCCCTCCAGCACGACAGCCGCGGCCCCAAGAAAGCACGCTATCTGCGGGCTGCGGCAAGCTGCAAGGATCTATCTTTATATCCATGGAGATGAGAGGAAAGCGCCGCGAGAAGAGAACAGGGTGCTGTGGCCTGTGGGTCAGTCACTTGGCGCTACCTTTCCCTCCTTCCTTGCTTCAGCAACAATCCGAGAATCAGAGAGGCCTGGACAAGCTAATAATCAAGAGGGCTGCTCCTGATGGAGTATCGCGGCAAGGGATCGGACCATGACTATGATGAGCACGCACACGCAGATAGAGAGAGAACAGCTAGCTAGCTAGCGAGCCCAGCAGGAGAAGTAAAGGACAAGTCCGCCGACAGATAGGGTTTTGGTTTCCGCCGGGGTGGTTTCGCGAGATGCGTCGTCGTCGCGCTTGCGCTTTCTTCTTTCTCGGGGTGCCTCGGAAGTCTTTGTCAGAATTCAGAAAAGCACCTGGCTACATTAACGATCCCTAGACGATCCAAGACGCAGAGAGGCGTGCTATGACCAATTGCGCAGCTCGTACAGGGTCACAGGTCATGCATGTGTGGTGGTTCTATTCCTCTCTGGGGATAGCAAATCGTGCTTTTAGGCCTTAGCACGCAGGAGACGGGATTTGACCGAGACGTACTGCTGAGTGCTGAATTCTAGTTTCCAGAAAAGATGCAAAAGAAACTACCGTTGTTTACTTGTTTATATGTCGTTCAAATGCAGACTATCGTACAGCTATGTTCCGGGTCATGCTCCCGGGTCCACACGCTCACGCCTCCCGGACGGTATAACCACTTTGCGAGCTGGGGGCGAGCTCATGGGCTAGAATCGATGAATAGTGTAGGTGCTGAATGGGCGAGCTCGTTTGGCCCTGAAAGGTTCACACTTTTTTTTTGCTTTACCCTTTTGGCTGTCTTCCACCTGTCGCCGGGTGGTGAATAGTGCATTATTCTAGAAATTTGTCAGAAAACATCGATTATTAGATGGGGAGGGTGAATGAGACCCAATTGAAATTCTTTTCCAAAAACTTGGCCTATGCCCCAAATTCCACCAAATCTCCTCTCCTCTAGCAAACTCAAGTCCCATGACATAGGATATACAGGTAGTGCTAGGAAAGCCCAAAGATTAAGTCGAAACAAAGACCACTCAGAGAAACACTTAGGAACCTCAAGTCAATTTCATAGCCGTAGAAGTTCAGTCAAGAGGTGAAAGGATGGCTGTCTTGGGTAGCCATTTTCTTTATTTATAGAGCTATTACATATTTTCAAGAATGTCTCTACGTTTAGACTTGAACCACTTAGTCACCGGGGGCGAAATGGTCCAATTTGATTTCCATGCATCGGATGCCCATGGGCCCTTCACGAAACTGCTTCGCCTCGACGTAAGCTCTCCGATGACGCCAAATGCAACCCGGAGATCCTCCCCGAGTTTTGAAATTTGTGTCACTAATTTATTTTTTCTTGTATATAGACTGCTTTTAATGATTGATGAAGAATATGGCAGCGTGAATGCATCCTCATCTATCGATCTTTTGTTGGTTAGTTATTAAAATTGTATCTTTTACCTCTTCTTATGCGTTTTGTGATGCACTTTCAATTGTTTATCTTAGTTGACATGTAAAAGGTTTAAAACTGCTATATGTTAGCTTTGTGTGGGATATAGTTGAGTTAATTTAGTCTAGCTCCCTTTGGCCCAGCCCCTCTAAATATTTTTTTTTCGGATCCGACTCTGACTCACTGTCTGTCTCTGCATGTTGCCTAGTCCGTTGGCCGTCTGGCCGAGCCGCCGCACCGAGGCCCCTGGCCGGCTGACCGCGGCTGGCCGGAGCCTGGCAGGCCCTGCTGCTGCCGCAGCCCGCCTACTACTGCGCAGCGTCGCAGCCGCTGCTGCCTCCCACGCTCCCACCCTGCACTCGGCCTTGGCGGTCTCCACTCCACCGTCCGGCCCATCCACGCCTTTGCCTACCAGCGATCGATAGCCCGACACCTCTGTCCGCCGCCGCTAAGGCGATAACCCTAGCAGGTTAGCAGCAACCGCTCGCCCAGAACCTCCGTCCGCTCGCCTCGCCCATGACCGATAGAGGAAGTTAAAAAAAGGCAGGTCCTCTTTCTTCCCCTGATGGGCTGGCAACTGAATGGCTTCTCTACTCTCCACGACTACATGTCCAAATGCGCAGCTGAAACAAGGGAGTAATTATTAAGAAATAGCAACCGGTACAAATGGACAGTTTGACAGAAAACGACTTGTGAATATATATCAAAGACTAAACTGGTCAGCGAAAGACATGTGGTATAAGGCTGCCTAGCGGGATGCTACAGTGTTGCACCTTTTTTCTAGAATTTTTCAGAAAATTTAGATTACACGCACACGTACGCGTTTGGTGGTATGCGTGTTTCCTGCCAGTCTCTTCTTTGTGTGTGTACGGACGCGTACGCGTGTGCGCGCGTGTGGTGTGAAAAGTTATTTTGGGTTGGACGTGAACTTGCGAGCTTGCTCTCACTGTGGGGACTTGGGTTCCGGCAGGCCCATCCACCCATGGCAGGCCTGCATGGGCTGCACGCATAAGGCCTGGCCTGTCTTTGTCGTCGATAGGAGAACCGAGGACGCAAACGACAAGCAGAAAAAAACAAAAGCCTCTCGACGGACCGGCGGGCGGCAACGGCACACGCGTGACTCGCGCCGAGGTTTAGGTCCTGTTTGGTTTCCATAAGTAAGGTGATTGAGAACCAGTGACTTATAAGTCATGTTCTGTTTGGTTGTAGATGACTTATAAGCTGTGGGACCCTACGTGGAAAAGGGTGACTTATAAGTTTTAAGCAGGGGTGACTTATAAGTTGGTAATGTTTGACAAAATCAGTCACTTATTTTACTTTTTAATTTATAGGTAGGTGATTTATTTGGAACAAACAGCCATTAGAAACAGTGGCAAACAGCAAGCAAGCGTGGCGTGCCGCGTGCTGGTGCTGCTGATCCAGTGCTCGTGGTGGCTTGGTGCGGCCGTCGCATGCAGATGCAGAAAGCTGCCGCTGGCCGCTGGCCAGCCCGCCCGCTGCGCCCGGCCACGCAGCCTTTTACCCTGCGGGCTTGCGGCCGCGGGATCTTCTGGAGCGCCGTCCGTCCGATGTCATATTCCCGCTCCATCCCCGCCAGAATAGAAAGCTATCAGTGCTAGCCTCGTTTAGATTGCAAGTTTTTTCACTCTCTTCTATCACATTAAATTTTTGGACACATATATATAGTATTAAATGTAGATAAAAAATAACTAATTACATAGTTTGATTGTAAATTACGAGACAAATCTTTTGAGCCTAATTAGACTATGATTGAACAATAATTATCAAATACAAACGAAAATACTACGGTGCTAAATACTGATTCCTAACCACAATCTATACAAGACCCTAAAACGGTGGTGGGCAGGGCTGGTGGCGGCCGGTGGGGCCCAAGGCGGGATCCGCGGCCCGCCCTCCGTTCCATTCCATGCGAATGCGATGATACCTCTCCAGTCCTCCACCCTCCGCTTTGGCCTTGGCCGGCCTCCACGCCACGCCCCACCTCTCCGTCGGCGCACCGAAGGAAAGCAGGCGGCCCCGCCTGCCACGACACTCATTCCGCCGCGACGGTCGCTGCACGCTCCGTCCCCCACGCGTGCCGGCCGGTGTGCTGCTGCTGCCCACACTCGCACTCGGAATCCGACCCTCCCTCCGTTCCCTGCCGGCAGACCCAGGCGGTGGTTCCCAACCTGGCAGTGGCAGTGGCAGCGACAGTGGCACGCACGCACCCTCTCCAAGGGCAACGGACGACGTACGGGACGAGGGAGAGAGGGCGATTCATGATGCAGCCTCACAATCATTGCCAACAGGACAGGAGACAGACGCACGCACACTTGACGAGCAAGGCTCCTCCCTCCAGCAGGGAAAGTGAGAAACCCCTCCCTGATGAGCTGAGGATATGCTGCTTCGCTGCCGTGCTGGACGTGCACGCCAAACAGTGCACGCTTGCTTCCAGGACTACTTGTACAATCTACCAAAGCAACATTATTCTGGGCAGGTCCCAGCCAAAGCAGGAGTGTAGATCATTACAAGGCGTATAAAGGCGTGGCAAAGCCATTCCACAAACAATACATACATACTCTATAATGGTAGTGGTGGCATATGCAGCGGGTTTGATGAGAGAAAGTAAAGCAGTAGCAGCAGATGATGAAAGGCGCAGCGCAACGGTGTGCTGAAGTTGAGCTCCACATCAGGCACACAACACTTTGTTGTTGGACCGGCTGGACCCGCAGGAAGGAACTATACACCACACAACCCAACCTCGAGCCATCTCATCTCCCCTTCTTCGCCTTTTGGCAGTTGGGTCAAAAGCCATGGCCGGCGAAACACCACAGCAGCGCGCTTTGCATGGAATGGACCTCCTTTCCTTTCCCCCACTCTGCTTTGGATCACGCTCAGCAAAAAGATGTTTCTAGCTTTGCATAACAACACATATGTTGCTCCAACCCACGAGGGCCTTTTGAGGAAGGTGAGTGATACAGGCAGGTACTGCGGGCAGGCACCGACAGGGACTCACAGCTGGTATGAGAAGACTCAAGCTCTCAGACAGAAAGATGGTGTAGGCTAGCTTACTGGAGAGCAGCATAGGTGGATGTATCTTGTGGCCTCACAGTAGGTATGGAGGAGGTAAGTCACGCATGCCTTGCTTCAGTTGAAGTGCTACTGCAATGCTGGGTACCAGTCATTGCCCACAATATCATTAGAGCCTTGTGGTGGGTACACGGGAAGCCAAGAAAGCACCTTTGGACCTTTTCTTCTTCCGTTA